TTCCTCTGTCTCCCCCCTTTTCCGGAAACCTCAGTCATCAATGCTTCATCCTGCTATTCCTCTTCTCCATCTTCACGCTTCATTTTTATTCGGTCCTTGGTGATGAGATTGGGATTGTCCTGATGTGTAGCTTCATTTCTGGCCTCTTCTGTTTGCCATTTTCCAACATAAATAGTCTCTGAGCCAGGGGTTTTTGGCTGATCTATTCACTGTTCTTCATATTGTGGAATTTCTTTCTTGGTTTTTGATCAGGGATTCCATGTCTCCTCAATTTCTGGTTATCAAGTGACTTTATCCTACACCTACCATTTTTCCTGATACTGTAGGGTTTTTACATCTCCTACACTCTCTCTCCCTATTGATCCATTCTTTTAAGATGTGTCATCCTCCATGGCAGGCTGCCCTTCCGGATTTGGATGTTAATGTGGTCCTCCATTTTATCCATTTTCCATGTGCTCCTTGTTTCACCTTTCCTTTCAGACTTATTTCCTTCTCCTCTTAGCCTGTGGATGTCAGCGGTCTGATTTATTTGCCCTTGATGATACATGTACTCTTTATCATCATGCATATCTTCTCCTTCATTTGGATCATTCTTTCCTCTCTAAAATCTCGGCAGCTAGGGAGGGTAACTCCTCCTTTTTTTGCTGATTTTTCTTCCTTTTACCTTTATCCTTGGCCTAGTCCGGATAGAATTTTATGGACTGTTACATGCTTTATGATGTTATATTGCCCGCACGGCTTCCACCTGTGGTGCCCATTCTTGCCTCTTTATCCATTGGTAGCCATTCTCTGTTCATGATCTTTCTTCTTCCACCCTCCCCAATTGGGTTTGGTTTTTGCTTCGATTGGCTTATTCCTCTTTTTTGTCATCTTCTCATCAAATTCGACACCTTACATTTTCTCTGGCATATTATATTTGTTGTCCATTAGAAGAAATGTTTCAGTTGGGCATGTGGACTACACCTAATTATTTGCATAGGCTCACTTTTTCTTCCTCTTCAGGATATTAGTTTCAGCCTGTAGCCATTTTTGAGACTTACTTGTGACTATAAGACTTGGTAAGTTATATTTATTCTTTTTTAACTTTTTCAGGTGCCTTATTTCCATTTTCATCGTAATTCCTATTGTTTGGATACCACTGTGGCGAGTGTTGCCTGACCAGGTATTCTTTAACCTTTAAAATCCACACTGTCAGTCATGTTGATGCACTTAATATGTTCCATAGCCAAGCAATGCACACTGTTGAGATGGGGTGTTCCAGAAGATCACTTGAAAGTTATCCTTGCGATGAAATTGCTTCATAAATATGTCCGTCCCAGATCATACCACCCCTGGACTACGTGGGTAAAACAGAAGGGAATAGCTGCCCATACCTGCCATATCTTGTATTGAATAAATCCGTATGGTCTGTTTTAAAAAATAGAGTTTCATGGTCACCCATTGCACTGTCTTAGGTTTTGACATTCCTCCATACTCTCCACTGCATTTCACCCTCCTTTTCCTCTGGTGGAGTTTGGGAGTCTTACACCACTTTCCAGTTCCAAGCTGCTGGGGTGGTGAATGGTGGAGGCATCCTCCTGAATGGTTTAGTGACATAAAATTTCAGTACAGAAATACCAGTACAGTGCAGAGTATGATGGTGGTGTTCTGCTGGTGTAGATGATGGGATATCCTCCACTATAAACCATATGTAAACCAAAGGAGTGAGACGTCAAATTGCAGTTCACCCCTTCGATTGGGATACCTCATCCTACCCCCACATGGATGTGGGTTTCCACTGGCTAGGTTTGGGGTTTAGAGTGGAACCAATCAACATAAGTCCTCACACATGTATTATGGATGTCTGTCTCCCTCCCTCAACCATACTCCATCTGTGTTGTGGGTCATGGTGGAGGTACTGGTGGGTTCTAGTACTAGGTACTATGGTTCTTTCCCTATTGCTCTCCCTTGATGTACCATATTCCAAGGATGTTATTGCACCTGGGTTGGTTCCAGTCAGTTTCAATGTTGAGGGAGTTGATTTCTCTTTTTGATTCCGGTTGTCAGGTTCCCGGATCAATATATCATTTTCTATTCTTAACATGTGCCCTGTTCCAGAGTCGGAGGTATAAGTTTCCCTCCGATTTCTTGAACTTGAGCCGAAGATGGTGTGATCCTCATCCCACCCCTGCATGGATGTCAGTTCCCAGTGGTGTGGGTTTTGGATGTAGTTGACTTGCCGAGTACGGTCTGTCACACCCTCGCCCCTCTACACCAGGGGCACTGTCTTTTTCTTACACCAATTGGATGTGCTTCTCTGTTTTCTGCCCATATATATATGACACTTTTCTCAGATGGGCAAAGAGTATACCTGATTCAGAAGTAGTGCGGTTTCCCACATCAGATCTTCGAATCTGACTGTATAGTCTCAAGGTGTGTCTTTTGGACTCTTTCGAAGGATGCCTCTTTTCTTCCATCTCACCAGTCCCTTTACCTATTCATTGTGGGATTATAGCTGTTTATGTGAGAAGAGGTAATGTACCATATTGGAAGTTATAATTTTTCTGTACTGAAAATGTATTTCCAATAGGTACTTACCTACTCTCAAACTTCTCACCCTTCTTTCCCACTGAAAACCGTTGCTTATATTTTCTGCCAAAACTCGAAATGATAATTTGGTAGAATTGAATAGAGGGAGTCACATGTGTAACGAGTGTGCATGGTACTCTCATTGATGGAGGGTTGTCACATGATGATTTGCATGAGAGACACATTGGAATGAGTCATTTCCGATAGAGGATAGACAAAGGCTTGTGGCATGTGTAAAAAATGTTTTTTTGTCTATAGAGGGCAGCACTGAATGAGATTAGATAATTATGTGAACGGAGGTAATGTACCTATCGGAAATAAATTTTCAGTACAGGAAAATTATAAGTTTTGGTTTCTGAAGATAATAATTATTGTTCAATAATGTTTTTGAAGTAGTTGACTACTTATTTGTATTTGTTGTATGTTTAATTGGATTATTAGTAAATGACTGTAGTAAGTAACTCACTGATCATTCTTTATTGTAATAATAATAATAAACGAAAAATTTTTTTTTAAGTTTAGAAATATTATATTTAATGTTTTGCACAAACATTTATGGTAACAGAATTGTTTTTACGACAGTTATTCTTTTTTTTAAGATTTCAGCAAGTAAAGAAGCTTTTAGAAAAACATGGAATGCAAAATACACACTTCGAAGGTAAGCAACATAAATCATCACATACAGAGACATATAACTTGTGGTCCAAAGTTAATTTCAATGAAATGCCTTTGTAAAGTGTATAGTTTTTAAAAGAACTATTTGGCTTTATGCAACTATGTAATCAGAATTTACTCTTTTTCTGTAATGGCCATTTTCTTTTGAATTCAAGTGTTTAAAACCCTTCATATTATAACTACTTGCCCAACACATACAGCAACTCCTATAATCTGTACCTGGAGAAAAAAGCAAGAAGAAAAAGCTGGGTATAACACACTCATTTAACACAGTGCATTCATACACATTTAACTTTAAAAGATAACTAGGATACAGAAATCACATGTGTGCAGCCAGTAGCTTCTTTTCCTGCCAAATTGATTTTATACATAGACCACTTGTATACAGTGAGTAGTTCTCACTTTGTCTTTTTACATAGGCAACATTTATACAGTGAGTATTTCCCTCTCATCCAAGTGTGGTCTTTATAGCTAGACCACTGTATGGTGAGTAGCTCTTGCTTCTCCTATGGTGGTGTTTGTAAAGAGACCACTTGTATACAGTGAGTAGTTCTCACTTTGTCTTTTTACATAGGCAACATGTATACAGTGAGTATTTCCCTCTCATCCAAGTGTGGTCTTTATAGCTAGACCACTGTATGGGGAGTAGCTCTTGCTTCTCCTACGGTGGTGTTTGTAAAGAGACCACTTGTATACAGTGAGTAGTTCTCACTTTGTCTTTTTACATAGGCAACATGTATACAGTGAGTATTTCCCTCTCATCCAAGTGTGGTCTTTATAGCTAGACCACTGTATGGTGAATAGCTCTTGCTACTCCTATGGCGGTGTTTGTAAAGAGACCATTTGTATACAGTGAGTACTCCCCTCTTCTCAAAATATGATCTTTATTCATATACCACTTGTATACATTGAATAATTCCCTCTTTTGAGAGTGAGTTAATAATACATGAACCATTTGTGTACAATGGGTAGTTCCCTCTCCTCAGAGTGTGCTCTTTATGGATAAACCATTTGTGTATAGTGAGTAGCTCTCACTTCTCCTATGGTGGTGTTTGTAAAGAGACCATCTGTGCACAGTGAGTAGTTTCTTCTCCTTAGAGGGCAATCTTTTTACATAGACCAACTATAGCTCTGCTCCCTCTCACCTAATTTCCTGGTGTGCCTGTGAACTGTCCATCGGTCCATTTTCACAAGGTGGTGAGGTCTAGTGGTAATATTGAGAGAAAATGCCGAGAGGTTCCAATGAGGGTAATGTTCTCAGGGACAGTAGTGAGACCATTCTGGTTGGTCAGTGAATAAATATGATGAAGGAGCGAAAAAGAAAATCATTGGTAATCTTGGCATGTCATTTGGCGTTCCTCTAGAGATTAAGTCATCCTGCCATTCAGGCTGGGTTTGACACCACCTGAGATGGTGGTTCTTATGTGCCTTAGTGGAAGAGGTCATGGTGGCAAGGTACAGGTAGCTGGTTCTGTTGCATGCTCTGCACGAGCTTTGAAAGTCCAGCGTGTCATACCATGGGTTCAGGTGGCTCACTGTGCTTTCAGAGTTGGAGGCCATTTAATTATCGTTGATGTGAGGGTAGAGGTGGCACATGTTGCCTACGATGTGGAAGGTGTCGACGTATATTGCATAGAAAGTGGTAGTTCGGGTGAGGAATTTATCCATCCCCATCCTCAGAGGATGATGTTTATACATATACCACTGGTGTGTACAACCTCCTCAGTAGGTGGGCTTTATACATAGACCATCTCTGTACAATACATAGTTCCATCTCTTAAAAGGGTAGTATTTATATATATATATATATACTGTCTGTATACAGTTTGTAGCTCTGTGTCCTCATAGGGTGATCTTTGTACTTTGACCACTGATGTAGAACGAGTATTTCTGTCTCCTCCAGTGATGGTGTTTATACATTATATAGATTACTGTGTGTATTATTAGCTTCCCCAATCTTTGAAAAGTGATCTTTAAACCACTTCTATACAAAATCTGCTCCCACTTCTCAAAGTTAGATTTTTTACACAGGTATTACTTTATTAATGGTTATATTAGTATATCTAACCAATTAACTTAACTAGATATGCCAGTATGTATGTGTTGCCTTACCATGTTAGCTCACTGCATGTTTTTCAATGTGTTTCCAGCCACTTTGATGGTGTAAGAGCCTTGGCTTTTCATCCTGAAGAGCCAGTACTAATCACTGCCTCTGAAGATCACACACTGAAGCTGTGGAACCTGCAGAAAACTGTCCCAGCTAAAAAGTAACTTTTCATTATTTATTATAGCCCAAAGTACCAATAAATTATAATCATGAAAAGTTTTTTGTTTTTGTTTAGAATAATATCTTTAAAAAGGAAAGAACTTCTATTCAATTAACACCTTTTGTGAGTTAGGATATAGGATAGTTTTAAATGAGATTTTGTTAAACTCTAGTGTTCTGGCCTTAACTACTGTTTATGACAACTCATTACTCCAAGACTATCACCCTTTTAGAAAATACTGTCTTAATTGGAGCATGGCTTGTCTTTTCCAGATCTTAAACTTGTATCTTCTCATCCTTTTGTCTTCACAATATAGAACAAATAAATCAGAGGAATATATTTTATTGATATCCCACATAATCTTGTAAACTTCAATAAGATTACCTCTTACACATTTTGTCACTGGAATCATTCTAGTAGCCTTCCTTTGAACCTTTTCCAGTAAGTCAGTATTCAGATCAGAACTATACACAGTATTCCAAGTGAGGCCTAACAATTAGCTTTACTACTAGCAATGGAACATTGTTTCAATGGCTTGAGTGATTTATCCACCACTATGCCATATCCTTTTCTTCAGTCATGCTGTTGAGTTGGTTTAAAGTTACTGGTAGTGTGCTGTGAAAGTAAGAAATAGCTGGCTTGAGGTTATTTTCATGGTCCTGTTATAGGGAAAATTAGTTGGTTTAAAGTTACTTGCAGTGTGGTACGAATGCAAGGATTAACAGATTTTTTATTTGTTGTTGGGTTATGGGAAGAATTAACTAGTTTGGGTTTATATCTATTGTATTCTGAAAACAAGAAATTGCAATTAACTTTTTAGTATAATGTAAAAGCAAAAATTAGATGGTTTGAGGGCATTTGATGCACTTTTATATCACATTTCTTGTTTTGTAGTATTAAAAAAGAATAAGCTGGCCTGATGTTAATCACAGTGTACTGTGATTAGCAAAGATTAACTTATCTCAGGTTACTTACATTGTACAGTGATAAGCAAAGATTAACTTATCTCAGGTTACTTACAGTGTACTGTGATAAGCAAAGATTAATTTATCTCAGGTTACTTACATTGTACAGTGATAAGCAAAGATTAACTTATCTCAGGTTACTTACAGTGTACTGAGATAAGCAAAGATTAGCTTATCTCAGGTTACTTACATTGTACAGTGATAAGCAAAGATTAACTTCTCAGGTTACTTACAGTGTACTGTGATAAGCAAAGATTAACTTTTCAGGTTACTTACATTGTACAGTGATAAGCAAAGATTAACTTCTCAGGTTACTTACAGTGTACTGAGATAAGCAAAGATTAGCTTATCTCAGGTTACTTACAGTGTACTGATATAAGCAAAGATTAGCTTATCTCAGGTTACTTACATTGTACAGTGATAAGCAAAGATTAACTTCTCAGGTTACTTACAGTGTACTGTGATAAGCAAAGATTAACTTATCTCAGGTTATTTACAGTGTACTGTGATAAGCAAAGATTAGCTTATCTCAGGTTACTTACATTGTACAGTGATAAGCAAAGATTAACTTCTCAGGTTACTTACAATGTACAGTGATGAGCAAAGATTAACTTATCTCAGGTTACTTACAGTGTACTAAGATAAGCAAAGATTAACTTCTCAGGTTACTTACAATGTACAGTGATAAGCAAAGATTAACTTATCTCAGGTTACTTACAGTGTACTAAGATAAGCAAAGATTAGCTTATCTCAGGTTATTTACATTGTACAGTGATAAGTGGAGGCAACTGTCTGTTGTAAAAACACAAATGTAAAGGATGACGTTTTGAAAGTCTTCCATCTTCAGGACCTGAAGACAGAAGACTTTCGAAACGTCTTTTTCTACACTTGTGTTTTTACAACAGGCAGGTGCCATCCATTCCAGTTTACTCATCATGAATAATGTGCCTAAATAATCTTTCAAAGAATTTTTCTTAACTCTTTCAGCTCGGGCTCGGTCCCTGGGACAGACCTTGTAACCATTTTTTGCTGTAACTTTTAAATTACTAAGCGAATGTTAACGAAATTTGGCAGATTATCAATAAACATTACAATGCTTTCATATGCAAAATATCAAATTTTTATTAAGTCTTTAGGTTTGTAAAGCAATGTTTCTTTCATGCCTTTTTTTTTTTCACATGTTGCCTATCTATCATGCAAAGTAATTTTCATTTTAAGATTAAAAATACTTTTGTGCATCAGAAAATTTTGAAATTTCACATGCAAAATTTTTATAATGTCTGGATAGTTATCAAACATTTATTAAGAAAAAAACTTGATATTTTATCTGTTATTTTCAGTAATTAATCTCTGTATGGGTTCAGTAGATTTGACCGATCTCGCAACCACCATAAAAAATTAGGAAATAAACATAAATTATGCCTCTTTCATTCTAGAATAAACACAAATTATAACACAAAAACATAAATGTTTAGACTAAATAGCTTAAACTTCATAACAATTATACATTTATATATATTTATTATTTTTATTATATTGACCTTTCAGCTGTGCCTGGCCAGCAATACAGAAGTTACAATGATGTGATACACGTGCACTCATGTTACTGTATCTAATATCATAAAACTGACCTTTAGTCTGTGCAAAGTAACTTGTCTTGGCTGTTTTTTAGTAGACTAGTATTTTGTAAAATACAGTCAAATTTTAATTATTAAACATTTATATGTATATAGATTATTGCTGTTTTGAAATAAGTTCTTAAACTTATTTTTCTTAAAACATAGAACA